ACACAAATCTGATTTTCTTTCGAGCAATTTGGGAAGCTCCATCAAACCATATTGACCACCAAAAATATCCCCGTGTACAGGAGAGAAATTAGTAGGGTAAATTCTAACCAGGGACCCTACATAAAGATTCAAATTAAACTGAACAACATTTGTTTAAACAAAGAGACAAAGAAATGGCACCTTGCAAGGTGGGTTGGGGAAAAGAAAAGACCAGGCTGTCAGAGGAAATCATTGTAATGAGGCAGGATTCCACTGGGGGTTGGTACTCAGTGGTCCTCTTCCAGGCACTTAGCCTCCTTCCAGTTTCCCAGTATTCCATTAGCTTCTCCTGATTCCAATAGTTAAATACCATCCAGCGCATCAGTGAATCAAGGGAAAGCTGAAGAGCCAGCCATACAAGTTTCTTATTAAAAGCATCACCCCTAGTTTAGGGCTCACTAATTAGTTGTATTCATCCCCAGAGGTAGAATGTCTACATCAACACTTATCACCACCTATTTCTGGTATGCATTAACACTTTCAGCACTAGTGGCTACCATGGAAACATTGGATGTTTGAGGTAGATAGGATATGAGGGACAACTAGGCCTTTCCTGTATCCTCTTTTTTTTTTTTTTTTAAACAAATGAAGTTGAAGAGACCTTTCCAATATGAGAATGAAGTTAGCAATTCTGGACTTCTGAGTGAGAGCCGCAAGGTAAAGCTGGGTGGGATGCTGCAGTCTGTTGTTTAGAGGAACATGTGTGCATATTCAAAGACTGTCTCTGCGAAGGGGCACTGGTAAATCTACAAGGGCAGCAATTCAAAGTCAACAGCTAGAGAAAGATGAGGCTTTCTGCTTCGGTAAAGATTTATAGCCTCAGAAACACCAGGAGCAGTGCTGCTCTGTCCTATTCAGTCCCTCTGTGTTGGTATTTATCAACTGGATGACAGTGAGTTTTTGAGAGCTCTCTGTTTATCCATGACAACAAACAAGAAAAGTAATTGCTTCAAAGGGATTTTAGAACTAACCGATGTTCCAAAATGGGAGAGAAATGGACTTTTTTCTGGGCATTCTTTGCTACTTATTAGGTTGCCATTTCTACTAAGAGAGTGCAAACTGCTTAAGGGCAGGCTCTACTGACCACATTATATGCATCATCACATTCGCTTCACATATTATATCCATCTTTGCAACCCCTGGGGAGCACTCAATAAATTATTTTTGTGTGCATACTTATGATATGTTCTCTTTCCATTGTAAACTAATTTTACTCTTAATGAGTATAGACTAATATTAATTCCTGGCTTTTTCCAAATGGTTTGTAACAATGTCTCTTTCTTACCAAAGAAAGCATCCGCTGCCATCAACTCATGGTGACCCTATAGTTTTCAAGGCTCAGGAATCAGACATCCTCACCTTTCTCCCACAGAACTGTTGGGTTTGAATCACCAGGTAATCATTCTTAGAAGGACAAAAAATAAGGGCTACCTATCTTCCTCCATTTTGTTAGTACAAAGATCATTTAGAGTACACTTTAAATAAACAATCCCTGACCTATTCAGATTCAGGAAACAGAGAGCACTTTATCATTCGCATATGGTGACAAGTGCGTCTTCATTTTTCTCCAAAGGGGTGAAAAATAGATTTAGGAAAATTGCAAAGCAGTGTATTTTGTGGTAGGACTTAGATTAAATATTTTCTCAGGTGTTTCTTATGAATCAATCCTTCTGCAGCCTGGTCACACACCTGCTTTACTCGTGAATAGGATGTCACAAAGTCAATGCACGTGCTCTAAAGAGTGGAAAACTGTGGTCTAAAATCAAGTAAGGCAGAACCAGGCAAAAAAAAAAAAAACTCCCAGGAGAATGGAAATTAAATTATTTATAGATGGTTTTGCCAGAACTTCCCAGAAGACACATTAAACATTGTGAGAGACTTGCCCATTTTTCTCTCTGAGCAACAGGCAGCATCATGACCCTTCGCTGAGGTTCTGATTTTCATTAAGTCCCTTAATGAGGTATGCAAGCACAGCTCGTGCTTTCCCAGTATTAGCACCACACTGGGGGGGGGGGGGGCTGAGCAAACTTGTGTGAACCGCACTTGCCCTCTAGTGGGCATTTGCTAACACTGCATTGCCCTGAGCTCTTCCAGCCTTGCACATTTCAGACGGAGGTCTTCTCCAGCCACGTTTTACAAGCAGATCAAAATCCAAAGCCAAACTCACTGCCGTAGAAATCATTCCAACTCATAGCCACCCTCGGAAGTGGAGTGGAACTGTCTTGTAGGGTTCCTAAGGCTGCAGTCTTCACGGATAGGAACCCTGGTTGTGTAGTGGTTACAAATGGCTGCAACCACAAGGTCAGCGGAAGGTGGGGTGGGGATATGGGGCCCTCTACCCCCCTAAAGAGTTAGCGCCCCTGAACGCACAGGGGCAGTTCGGCTCTCTGTCCCATTAGAACCTGTGAGTTGGCATCAACTCATTGGCACTGAGTTAGTTTTGTTTTGTTGGGTTTTTTAATCTTTATGGAAGCCAACTGCCACAGATTCCCCTAAGGAAGGCCTGGGGGGTTTGAAATGACACCTTTCAGTTAGCGGCAGAGCTTAACTACTGCCTTTCTATTTATAAACACATAAGTCTCATTTATATTTACTCAGTTAATGGCAAAGAACATTGTTCGTGAGATTAGGAACAGGGCTTTTGAGTTGTTGTTTACATAACCATCTCTCCAGATGATATTTATACAAATGCCTTATGTAAATGGTACATAAGGTATAGTACATAAGGTACAGTACAAAGATAGATGTTGATCTATTGCAGGCCCAATTAGCCAATTCTAAACGACGTTCTAGTGTTTAGCATGTAGGTATGGGGGCATAATTGTGTGCATTTATGGAATAGTAGGCATGTATGCATAATTGTGATTGGTTTCTTTGACATTTTGGGACGGTCACATGAAGCACCCTTTCTTCAACTTCAGGAACCTTATGAAGTTTTTATTCTTCCTGTTACTTGTTCTTTAACTTTTACCTTTATTCAAAAACTGAAGCAAGCAATGAAAGCACCCAACAGATATAAATCTCTGTTCTGGGATAAAACCAATGAAGGAGTAAAAAGCAAAGCATTTAGGCACTCATTAACAGAGCCTGACTTACCAACAAATTCACTGTTTTAAAAAAAGGATGCGGAGGACAGTTCCCACTGCAAAACCCATCTGCAGAGTATCTAGTCAGACTAAGCGGCTGGCAGATCCACTCTAGCCACACACCAGAGTCAGGAACAGCATTACGATCAGGCAGAAACCACTGAAACCTTGAGTACGTGGAACTGAACACAATAGTTGGCCAGATGACCTCCCTGTAGACCCGACCTGAGATGGTTCTGGGTGCAAGTATCTCTGACTTGTTCCATGACAGAAATTCCTTCCCTGGCTTTTTGAATGGTGATGGGGATCTTTTTTTTTTTTTTTACCCATTATTTGTATGTTGGTGTTTATATTATTATTGTATCCTTACCACCTTATTTCAAGTATGGTTTTTTTTAATTGTTTCTGTTGGGTTTCCCGGTGTGGGATGCACAGGAGGAGTGGATGCACAGTGATAATACCGGATACAAGGGATGATGGGGAATGCAGGGGCGACAGGGAGGGAAAGGGGATTTCAGGAATAAATGATGAAGGCAGGAGGGGATGGAGCACTAGAACGGACTGTGAGTGCTCAACTCATTTTAAAGGTGATTTTACTATGGGGGAGGTGGTTTTCTAAAATTGGTAGGATAATGATTGCACAATTTTCCTTGCTATGATTGAACTATTGAATTGTATGATATGTAAATTATGTGCCAGTAAAACTGTTATAAAAATAAAATCAAATGGAATCTACCCCTCTCCATCATGATCAGGATTGGTGCAGTTGACGGAATATCCACATAATATTGGCTTTACAAAGGTAGAAATGTATTTCTCTCTTAGACCAATGAAGTCCAAAGATTAGGATTGATCTAGAGCAGTGGTACTCAACCTGTGGGTAACGGCCCCTTTGGGGGTCAAACGACCCTTTCAGAGGAGTCGCCTCACATATTTCCGATGGTCTTAGGAACCTAGACACCGATCCTCCATCCATGTCCAGGCGGGTCTGCCCACATGCAGATACGCCAGCGTGAAGACCCATGCTACACCATGCTTCGACAAAATTTCATTTATTTGTCATTAGAAATAAATATTTCACAATCTATAATTACATATTGTTTTTGTGATTCATCACTGCTTTAATTATGTTCGATTTGTAACAATGAAAATACATCCTGCATATCAGATATTTACATTAAGATTCATAAAAATAGCAAAGTTACAGTTATGAAGTAGCAAAAAAAATAATGTTATGGTTGGGGGTCATCACAACATGAGGCACTGTATGAAAGGGTCGCGGCAGGAGGAAGATTGAGAACCACTGCTCTAGAGCCTCCATGTTCAGCCAGGCTCAGCGCTCACCTGGTGATCCAAGATGTCTGGCCCAGTCCCAGGTAATATGTCCACCTGCCGGCCCACCGGAAAGAGGGAAGGAGGCAGGCAGGTGAGGACTTCCTCTTCTTGGAAATTGCACGCATTACAATGACATCCAGTTGGATCACATTTTGTCATGTGGACACATTAAGAGGAAACATCATCTTCACCATGGGCTACTTCGTTCCAGCTTGATAATCAGTGCTGCCAGTAGTACAGAAGACGGCAGCATGGACGTTCCGGGCAGCTAGCAGTCTCTCTTATAGTCTTATTGCCACACCCCCAGATCCTGCTCTTTTTCCTGGCCTGTTTGATTAGATGAGGTTGTGTGTGTTTGGGGTGGGGGGGGATGGTTGGGGTAGGAACTAAAGAAAAGTATCTTCCTTATCATTTATTTCCATCTCTGAAGTTTTTACAGAAAAGACAATGTCCCTCCTGTTTCCCTCTTTGCTTCTAAATAAACTCTGCTCACTTGGCCTACAGGTCTTCACCACGCTGTTGCTTTCCTTCTTCCCACAGGTGATGGCTGGCCCGCCCGCCCCTCTGCAGCTGTTGGGAGCACTGTTTACCATTGCCTTGGGCTGCATCCGGCTCATTCAGGCTGGTGCCTACTATGGCCTCAAGCCACTGCCACCTCAAATTCCCCCTCAGATGCCACCACAAATTCCACAATACCAGCCTCTGGGTCAGCAAGTACCTCACAGGCCTTTGGGCAAAGATGGCCTTGCCATGGGCAAGGAGCTGCCCCACATGCAGTATGGCAAAGAGTATCCCCACCTTCCCCAGTACATGAAGGAACTTCCGCCGGTGCCAAGAATGGGCAAGGAAGTGGCACCCAAGAAAGGCAAAGGTAACATAGCCCTGTTTTGTTTAAAAGCTCCGTTTTCCAAAATAGTAAATTATGAGATCAAAGGGAGGGGCCTAAATTGTACAAAATTTAACTTCAGCATTTGTTACTGATATTTCTGAGTATGCTCCGATCAAAGGCTTTGCTATTCTTAATGGCCTTCAAGGTGGCCCCGTGAGGGCCCCTGAGTACATTTGAATCAGATTGTTATGCTGAAACTTGTCTTATACCATAACAACACACACACACACACACACACACATGCCTTCACTGGCAAATGAACAGCTGTGCATAAGGTGCATAGTCAGAAACTGTGTTAGACTGGTTGGAGAAACTAAACCATATACACACACACACACACACACACACACAGATATTTGTACATATGAAATAACTTTATATTTAGAAGGCATATATACACATATTTGTACATATGAAATGACTTTATATTTATAAGGCATATATATACACATATTTGTACATATGAAATAACTTTATATTTAGAAGGCCTCCCAGCCCAGTCCAACTCAAATCCATGGGGTCAGACTCACATAGCTGCAGGCCAATGAGACAGAAAGTTGAAGTTGGAAGCAGGGGGGTAGGCTCAGAGTCACATGGATCCAAGTCTGTAGGAAGATGGCAGGACACTGACAGCACTCCAGGTTGTTGGCCCACAAGGGGCCACCCCTGGAGGTCGACACAGAGTCCTAGTGGAAGAAGAAGGTGCAAGATGAGAGAGAATGTCTCACTGTCTCTCTGATAAAAAGACTACACCCCTAAGGGGGCATTTCCTGATTGACAGGGTAGAGTCCACTCCTACACTTTCACACAGGTTCAAGTTGACATAAAAAGGAACATAAGAATTCTACCACTGACCTGCCACCACTGCTCTGTTCAAACCCTAAAGAAAAATACAGATGGAATTATTTTAGTTTTGCCATGAAATTTCAATTGTATCCAATGAAACAAAACATTTAAATAACAACTAATTATTTCCTCAGTATTCATTTGTTCAAACGCTCAGCAGTCACTGAATGAGCATTGGTTCAGGGGCAACACTCTGGGCCAGGTTCTGAGGGAGAGAGCAGTGAAAAAAAACACCACCACCAAAATCTCCAGAACTGACAGTCTTCTGAACTAGGAGAACAATGCTGCAAAGACCTGATGTATTTAAAAGGAAAAAGAGAATGCATGTGGTTGCTCTGGAGACTTGTAGGCAAATACCCTGTTTCCCCGAAAGTAAGACAGTGTCTTATATTAATTTTTTCTCCCAAAGATGTGCTAGGTCTTATTTTCAAGGGGTGTCTTATTTTTCCATGAAGAAGAATACGGTACACATTTATTGTTTATTGTTTTATTAAAAGAGACCTCACACTTCCTGTCTGCTCCGGCTGCGCTGCGGCCAACAGTGAGCTGCGCAGCAGCGCCCACCACTACAGTCCAGAGTCCAGAGTTATGGTAGCTTCAGGGGGACTTATTTTCGGGGAGGTCTTATTTTCAGGGGGCTGCCTTATATTTCAGCAAGAGGCAAAACTGTAAGTAGATCTTATTTTCGGGGGATGTCTTACTTTCCGGGAAACAGGGTAGCTATCTCAGAGTAGCAATCCTCCTGCAGGAAATAGAGGCCACACCTTCAAGCAGGAAGCTCCAACTCTGGAGAACCCCAGGATTTAGCAAAGAAGAACTAGATGTCAGAAATGAGAATGTCAGAAACAAATTCTCTGAGCCTACCTTTCTTTGTCTGCAAAATAAGGTTGCTGAGAGAATTGATGACATAAGGTAAATAAAAAATGATGAATACATGCTAACGCACCCCAAATTCTTTAACAACTTTCAACATACTCCCAGGAAGATAGAGCAGGTTCTTGGCCCATGCTAGACCCCAGGGATTCATAAAGAATAAGGCACGATCCTGCCCCAGATGTGTTTGTTGTTATTAGGTGCTGTGGAGTTGGTTCGGGTTCCTAATGACACTGTGTACAACAGAACAAAACACTCACTGCCTGGGTTTGTGCCAGCCTCACAATCATCGTCATGTTTGAGCCATTGTGCAGCCACGGTGTCGGTCCATCTTGTTCAGGGCCTTTCTGTTCCCCTGACCTTCTCCTTCCCTACACAGGATGTCCTTTTCCAGGGACTGGTCTCTCCTGATGACATGTTCAATGGGTGTGAGACCAAGTCTCACGACCTCACGTCTAAGGAGCATTCTGACCCTACTTCTTCCAAGACAATTTGTCCTTTCGTCTAGCAGCCCATGGCATATTCAATTGGAGGATCCTTCGCCACCACCATCATACAAAGGCATCAGTGCTCCTTTGGTCTTCCTTATGGATTGTCCAGCATTCCCATGCTTGTGAGGCAATAGAAAATACTACGGCTTGAATTGGGCAATTGGTGGCTGCCCCAGATGTTCCCTCTGTAGAGCATAGTTGCAATTTTCTGGTTAGAAAGAACATGCCAGAATAGCACTATAATAACTACTTGAACATAAAATAAGGAGCTCTGTTGGCACTTGGTTAAGTGCTTAGCTGATAAACAAAAGGTTTTTGTTCAATGGTTCAAACCCCGCCAGAGGCTCTACCGAAGAAAGGACCCATAAAGATTACAGCCTCAGAACCCTATGGAGCAGTTCTACTCTGTCACATAGGGTTGCTACGAGTCAGAATGGACTTGAAAACAGACAACATACAAGAATCATATAAGAAGTATTCCCAATTTTATTCTACTTAGGGCCTAATATTGCATTTAGGGGATTTGATAGCTCATTTGCTTTCCATCCTTTCATGAATGGCTTGTCTGGTTTGGGGGCTTCCTTCTCTTATTCAGATGGGTCCTAGGGAGCAAATTGAAGAATGCCAGTAGCTTTAAAAATAACAACACAGTGAGTGGTCAAAATTAAGATTCTACTACTGTTTAAAACCATACCACTGGCACTATGTTTGGCACCAAAATTTTCATTCCTTTTTTTTTTTTTTTGTGCTATTGTTTGAAGTGAACTTGTCGCAAGACAAGTCCATTTCAGTTCACTTTCCTCCTTTTTCCTTTAAGCCACTCAAACCCCTGTTTAGGTTTGAGGGCTAAGGAATCTGGCGGGCCATTCCTTTTTTTTAACAATAAAACAATATATGTGTTGTGAATAGAGACCATTCAAATTGGGCACCAATACTCAAACATTATTGGGAAGAAACTCTGAAGAAGAGGCAGTGAAAGTGGTTTATAGAGGGCATTGTGTGTTAATTTATTAAGCAAGTGCATCAAAGCACAGGGTGGATTACAGAAATCATCACCAATGACACACCACACAGGAAAACATGGTCTCCAGTCAGAACTTGGAGTCCCTGCTTCTAGATAAATTTCACTTCTTGATGTTATCCTGCACTCCTAGTCTCATGGGACATGCAGAGTTATGTTCATCTGCAGGGCAGATCATAATTAACATCAGGTGCTTTGTACTTCCATTAATGATTCAGAAAAGCACACTTCCTTTCATTTGTATTACCTAATCTTGTCGTAGGGGTGCATTGTTTTCACTGCACGCACAAGAAAGTAGAGCTGCCAGTAGCTGAAGGACAACCTCAAGGTCTCATGTCAAGGCAAGGAAGAGAAGTCAGCTCTCCCTGCTCCAACATCCAGCTTTCTTCCTTACCCATACTGTTTGTCATCCTAAAAGGGCATAGGCAACTTTCCTATGTAGAAGCCAAATTTGTAAGTGAGAAATAACCTCTTATTAAATAATGCATACTTGAGATTAATGAAATCCTACAGCACATTAAAGAATTTAAGCAAATCTCTTTGACTATGGAGGACAGATGTGGATGGATGTGATTAAACTACATACAAAATAACACACTTTTATCCTTCCCTGAGATCACAGAACAATAACCGTCATCATCCACTTCACACTATCAATCAGCATATGAGAAAATATTACTTAGCCAAAAATTATACCAATAAGCAGAAAAAAAGTAAAACGGGAAGGACTCCAACATTGTTTAAAATATGCATGTACATACACACACAAAGACATCTAAAAGACACGAGATGGAAATTCATATAAGCGTGAAGTTTTTATAAATGAGTAGTGGAATGATAGTATTATTTTTCTTTATGCCACTATGAATTTTCCAAAATTTGCATGGCAACATACCCTAATATCTCCGAGTGTGTACTTAGGGAAATGTTGCTTTGTTACTTTTTAACATTTTTACTTGACTAACGCTGAAGAAAACAGCTGCATCTTGTTAGTTCTCACCATACCCCAAGATGTCCAAGGAATGACCGGCTTGGTTGTCCTTTAAGTCCTTACACAGTCCTGGAAGATACCCACATCATTCCCAATCTTTCTTTCTGCTAAAGAGGCAAATGCATCAGAACTAAATCATGATTGCCATTCCTTCGTTGGACTAATCATATGATTTTTCTGCCTCCCTGTTCCCTTTCTTTCTCTCTGCAGGAGAAATACCATTAGCCAACTTACGTGGGGAGCAAGGTCCCCGTGGAGAGCCTGGCCCAAGAGGCCCCCCTGGTCCCCCTGGTTTACCAGGCCATGGAATACCTGGGATCAAAGGAAAGCCAGGGCCACAGGGATATCCAGGAATTGGAAAGCCAGGGATGCCTGGAATGCCAGGAAAGCCAGGAACCATGGGAATGCCTGGGGCTAAAGGCGACATTGGACCAAAGGGGGAGATTGGACCCATGGGAATCCCAGGACCACAAGGACCTCCGGGGCCCCACGGACTTCCTGGCATCGGAAAGCCTGGAGGGCCAGGGTTGCCAGGGCCATCCGGAGCAAAGGGCGAACGCGGACCCAAAGGGCCGTCAGGACCCCCAGGCCTTCAGGGTCCTAAAGGCGAGAAGGGTTTCGGGATGCCAGGTCTGCCTGGGCTGAAAGGCCCTCCAGGGGCGCACGGCCCACCGGGCCCCGTCGGGCTGCCGGGAGTGGGCAAGCCAGGAGTGACGGGCTTCCCGGGGCCCCAGGGCCCGCTGGGAAAGCCAGGCCCTCCAGGAGAGTCTGGACCACAGGGTCCTGCTGGGATCCCCGGGATTCAAGGGCCTCCTGGAATACCTGGAGTTGGGAAACCAGGCCAGGATGGAATCCCTGGCCAGCCCGGATTTCCGGGTGGCAAAGGGGAGCAAGGGCTGCCAGGGCTGCCCGGCCCCCCAGGTCTTCCAGGGATGGGGAAGCCAGGCTTCCCAGGAGTCAAAGGGGACCGTGGCATAGGGGGCATCCCTGGGGCCCTGGGACCAAGAGGGGAGAAAGGACCAGCCGGTCCCCCTGGGATGGGAGGCCCCCCAGGAGAACCAGGCCTACCTGGAATCCCGGGTCCTATGGGCCCCCCAGGTGTAATCGGTTTTCCTGGACCCAAAGGAGAAGGTGGGGTTGTGGGGCCACAGGGACCATCAGGCCCCAAGGGTGAGCCAGGGCTTCAAGGCTTCCCAGGAAAGCCAGGTTTCCTTGGTGAAGTGGGGCCCCCAGGCATGAGAGGTTTGCCAGGTCCCCTAGGACCCAAGGGGGAGGCAGGCCATAAAGGCTTACCCGGGCTCCCTGGAGCACCAGGACTGCTGGGACCTAAGGGAGAACCAGGAATCCCAGGGGAACAGGGTTTACAGGGGCCCCCAGGGATCCCAGGGATTACAGGCTCCAGTGGCCCCATTGGACCACCTGGCATTCCAGGCCCCAAAGGGGAACAGGGTCCCCCAGGGTCCCCGGGCTTCCCGGGAGTAGGAAAACCCGGAGTGGCAGGACTTCATGGTCCCCCGGGGAAGCCTGGTGCCCTTGGACCTCAAGGCCAGCCTGGTCTTCCGGGACTCCCAGGCCCTCCAGGGCCCCCAGGGCCCCCAGCTGCGATGCCCCCGACACCACCACCCCATGGAGAGTATCTGCCAGACATGGGCCTGGGCATTGATGGCGTGAAAACACCCCATGCCTACGGGACCAAGAAAGGAAAGAAGGGAGGGCCGGCCTACGAGATGCCCGCCTTCACCGCGGAGCTGACCTCACCATTCCCCCCGGTGGGGGCGCCAGTGAAGTTTGACAAGCTTCTCTACAACGGCAGGCAAAATTACAACCCCCAGACGGGCGTCTTCACCTGCGAGATCCCTGGCGTCTACTACTTTGCCTACCATGTGCACTGCAAGGGGGGCAACGTGTGGGTGGCTCTCTTCAAGAACAACGAGCCCGTGATGTACACGTACGACGAGTACAAAAAGGGCTTTCTGGACCAGGCGTCCGGGAGCGCGGTGCTGCTGCTGCAGCCCGGGGACCTCGTCTTCCTGCAGATGCCCTCGGAGCAGGCGGCGGGGCTGTACGCCGGCCAGTACGTGCACTCTTCGTTCTCAGGATATTTACTATATCCCATGTGAAGAGAGAAAAGAGATAGCTTGAAGAGAAGGAAAAAAGAGGCCATGGCACACTAAAAAAAAAAAAATCCAAATGAAAAAGACAACTGCTTCAAAATGTTTATAAAGTTGGAAGCATTTACTTTAAGTGACAATTTGGACCATCGTGTACAAATAAAAACGAAAATGCATGTTCAGCCCTGTGCGCAGCAGCTTGTAATTGAAAATGATGTGATTTCTGTATTGTATACTGACACGTGTGTGGTGCACACCGGAGTCCTCCTAGCTGATGTATGTTTCAGGCTCCCATGATAACCTGCTCATTCAGATGGGTCAGCACAGTTCAGTGTGGAAGAGCAGTCATCTTCTTGTTTACATTCAAATACCTGCAAGTCCGGCTTAAAGATGCGTCAATGAGAACAGTTACCACCATATTTGCGTACACAATTTTCTCAGTCTTGGTGAAGACTCTCTGAGGTGGGACGGGGGTGGGAGGAGTCCCTGTGAGGGAAGCTGAGGGCCCGGGAGCTCTGACACGATCCAATGGGTTTTGTTCCCTTGTCAAAAGACTGTGTCAGTTAATGAAGGGAGCCTTACTCTGAAGTTTTGTCTCTCTGGAGAATCCTTAGGTGGTACAAATAGTTAAGCACTCAGCTACTAGCTGGAAGGTTGGCGGTTCAAATCCACTCAGAGACACCTGCGAAGACAAGGCTGGTGATCTCCTTTGGAAACCTTACAGCAGCAGGTCTACTCTGATGGGTCATCCTAAGTTAGAATCATCTCAACAACACCTAAGAACCCATGGCCATTGAGTCGATTCTGACATCCTAAAACGATTCTGACTCCTTAAAGCAGAAGTGGGGAACCGGTTTTCCGCCAAGGCCTATTTGGATAGTCACAACATTATTTAAGGGCCATACTGGTCAAACATCTCATTAACTTACCCCTAGAACAGCTTCTCTTCGGGGAGATGTGGGATGTTAACTGGTATTGGTCGTTTCTCAGTCCTTATATAGCCCCTAGACCGGACATGTCCCACCGCTGCCCTAAAAGACTGGGTAAGCCAATCATCCCTTGGGTCAGACAATTTTCTGGGGCATCAGACAGTGCCCTTCAAGGAGCCTCCCAGCCAGTGGGAGACAGGAGTATTGATTGACTCCTCTGTGCTCCAGCCTTCGTTCTCTCCCTTTGTACATTCTCTTTTCTTTCTCTCCTCTAGTTTTACTGCCTGTATTAGCTTCTTTTTTCCCCCCCCAGGTCATTTCTACTCTGACCCAACGATTATAAACAATGGAATGTTATTACATTAAAAACTAAAACAAAAAGCCCTCCCTCGATTATAACTCAACAGTTTCGTGGAATGATCATGACCAATACACCCCAAACCAAAACCCACCGCTGTGGGTTTTGGAGACACTTCTGACTCACAGGGACCCTAGTGATCACAGTGGAAACGGCTCTCTAGAGCAGTGGTTCTCAACCTTCCGAAAGCTGCGACCCTTTCCTGCAGTTCCTCATGTGGTGGTGACCCCCCAACCCTAACATTATTTTAATTGCTACTTCATCACTGTCATTTTGCTACTGTTAGGAATTGGGTGATCCCTGTGAAAGGGTCGTTCGGCCCCCAACGGGGTCGCGACCCACAGGGTGAGAACCACTGATCTAGAGTTTCCAAGTCTCTAAAGAGTGGCTGAGGGGTTCCGACCACAACCTTTCAGTGAGCAGTCGAGCACTTTGACTGCTGCTTCACCAGGGCTCCTTCATGATCTCCAGCCATTCACAATTGGGTTTCCATGGATATGAAAATCTGCCCTCTCCTCTCTTCTGGATGACACATCCACAGGACCACCGTGAGGATTCAGCCAGGAAGGACGTATCAATATTTTTCAGTAGCTTTTAAATGGTAAAGGCATTTCCCTGTAAATTATGAGTTGACTCATCATCTGAAGCTCCAAAGTAAATTTTCAAATATCCAAACCATTCCTTATTTGGGAGAGAAGTTTTCAGCATGGCATAGGAAAAATACATTTTTATTTGAAAAAGTAATTTGTAAAAGTTTGAAATTGGTTGTGCTGCTCCCTGGTGTAGGTGCTGACATTATAACGAGCTGGGTCTTGGAAGCAATCTGCAAGGGAGCAAACCAGAAAGTCAAAGGGCAGTGGCCACCCATGCTTTCTCAAATGCTTCCCATTCAGCCCCTGAAGAGAGAGCCAGCTGGGCCCAAGACATGTTTGCAAAGGAGAAATAAATATTTTTCCAGCTTTTCACTTAGACACATACTAACTGCTGCAGGTAATCTAATCTGGCCTTAAAAACCAAGAAACCATTTCAAGTCTGCTGTTTGCTTGCGGATGACATCATTGACCACTAGCGGAAACTAGGTGGGATTACAGTGATAGACTCCCACCTTTTCCTCAAAATTAGATGGACGCGGTTGGAAAACACACCAGTAAATATGGTTTATGGAAATGTGTCTACGTCAAATCAGAATGCTTTTTACCTTCCAGAAAACTCTACTCTTTTCCTGTGTCTTCTACATTTAGGATATTCAAGCACCATTTTGTCTCAATTTTTTAAGAAGAGAAATGGGTTTATTAACACAGGATTCACTATTACATAACAAACTTTTTCCCATCAAAAAAAAATGTTCCGACCTTCATTTTTGAAGCTGGTAGCATTTATGTGTCTTAATACCCTTTGAGTTGGTCTTGCAATGATTAAGGAGAATGTTGATTTCGGGACTGATGACTGACCGAGGGGCAACATCGATTCATTGGGCTCCTTCTGCTGAATAGCTGCATTGAAATGGTTAGGAAGAAAATCAGATAACTGGTTTGTGAAACTGAATTTATCTGTACATGCTTTGGCTTTTCATTTCCACCGAGCAGGAGAGACATGGTCTCGGTAGTTAATCCATACGGCACTTTTCAAAGTAGCTTCCGACTTATTTATTGGTTGTTATGCAATTGCCTATATATGTGTGTGCATCTTAATTATCAGGCATGTGCTTTTAGCTTGTACATTGGAAAGGAGTAAAATCTATGCCAGAGACTGTGTATTCTACAATGGTGCTAATCTCAGAACTAAATGAATTACTCCATTTAATTTTTTAAAAGAGTTTTAAATAATTATATGTCTTGTGTTTCCCTTCTGAATGTTGCACATCATGTTAACACCGCTGTGTGAAAAACAGGAGAAACAATCATGCGTTTGGGGATAATGCTACCATCCCTATTGAATTCGAAATGAACTAGAGCATTTCCATGTGAAATGGACTAACCTATCATTATCGTTATTTAAAGACAGAGTATTAATGCAGTATGACATTCCCACAGGGAGAAGAATGTCTGGAGTGGGGGACTGTTCTCACGTATTTTACAGAATACTAGGAGCAGCAGACTGGTGACTTCCATTTTAGTTTCCATGACAGGGTGGAGATTTGTCAGTAGCAAATCAATTTTGTATTTAAATTTTTGTACTGATTTGAAAAGAAAAAGAAGTCTTATTAAATATCTTTAAAGTATGTTTCTCAACTTGTTTTTATCTCTCGACCGACATTGCATAAATCTCAGAACTTGTCAACCCCCTATTGTATTAGTTAGCTGCAAGAATTAAGACCTAAAATAACAATAGCGTATACAGGACAACCTACTTCTCTTCGACACAGAGTTCCAAGCATAAGCAGTTCAGACTTCATATGCTGGTACTAGTCAGGGTCTCAGATTCCTTCCATCTTGTTGCTCTCCTACCCTAGAGTGTTTCCCTGATCTTTAGGGTCCGTCACACCACACTCACGCCAGCAGGAGGTAAAAAGAGCCGGAAGGGGAGGGTGTATTCTTTCCCATTGAAGATTCAACCAGAAGTTGGCAGAGATCATTCTTCCCACACAGCTTTGATCTGAATGTCATCCCATCGCCTGAAGTGGCAGGAGAGGGTGGAGAGTTGAATATTCTGAGTAGTCACTTGCTAAAAATCAAGGGTTGTTTTTTTTTTTTAATATGGAAAAGATGGAGAACAGATATGAGGGGAGAATTGACCCTGTCATATCGCTCATAAAAGAAAACATGGCTACTCTCATCTTTTACAAAAAACACCATCAATTACTCCCTCTCTGCTATGCCACACTAAAGCTAAACTATTTTGTAAGGAGACCATGGTGAGTGGTTCTAGAGAGCAGAAGTAGGCTTCTTTCAAGACTCAGAGGTTTAATAAGCACCAATGATAAGGAATTAATCCCTTGGTGATGAATTATCAAACCCCAAATGATCATAATTTATCAAATGATAAATATCAAAAGAACATTACAGATGAGATTATTCAAATTTTTCATATACCATCTGGATGGAATTTCAAGAGCACAGTTTCCATTCCCATATAACATAATTCTATTGCATTCGGTGACCAAAAACCCATCCATTATATCAGTCAATTACCATGTTGGCATACACCAGGACACTTAGGAATATATAGATATATCTCCGAGAAGGAATATAACAGCTAATTAGCTCACACAGCAGTACAGAGGCTTCAGTTCAACTCACTTCTGGGAAATTAGTATACTGGAAGTCCAACTCACGTGGGTTGCCAGGTCCGATGTCAAGGAAGCAGACAGCAGAGTCCTCCCTGGAGCAAGGCAGGCAGAGTCTACCTGCAGATAGCAGAGAACAGGATTGGTCATCAACAGTCAGTAGCTCGTGAGCTTAGTGAAGCAGGCCCAGATGGGATATTGAAGGCAAACAATGCAAAAGGACAGGGTCCACCAGCCTCAAGCTTAAGCTATGTACACACCACCAGCGTGGCAAAGCAGGTCTCAAAGGAGCTTCAAGCAACATGACGAACGGGTTGTCCTAGCCCACAAGTAATGTAGTTCACAGGTTTAGGCAGAGAACTAGCTACAGCAGCAGCACGCACGCTCCAGCATGCTCCCCTCCAATCACCAGAGAGCAAGAAAGAGGAGGCGGACCTTGCAGAGCCATTTATCTCTTGGCCCTCCAATCAAACTGCCACCTGGTTAATCCCACATGTTCCTATTGGCCAGGTTGGCATAGTAAACCTAACTATCACAGGGGCAGAATGCTGGACAAGCAGGCAAAATCATCATCACTATGACTAAATAAAGTAACTGAAAAATATTTACAATGGGTCTACTGTTAGTTGCCATTGAGTTAGCTCTAATTCATATAGCCCCTACACACAA